GCGATAGCACGGAGCGTTGTCGTGCTGCAATATCACTCGTTCGTGTTTCGTGTTCCATTCTGGCCGTTTTTCGAGCAATGCATGGTTCAAATTGATCAGTTGTTGTCGGTAACGATGCCTATTAACAGTTTCACCCGGTTTCAGCAGCTCATAGTACACGATTCCTTTCTGGTCCCACCAAACACAGAGTGTCTTCTTTCCGAAGCGATTTGGCCGTGCCGTCGATGTTGATGCTTCGCCAGGTGAAAGCCACGATTTTTTGCGTTTGGGATTCTCGAAATATATCCACTTCTCATCGCCAGTAATAATTCGATACAGGAAACTCTTTCTTTCATGCCGCAAAAGCAAAATTTCGGAAGTGGCTTTTCGATTTTCCATCTGTCTCTCAGTCAACTCATGCGGCACCCATTTTCCTTCCTTTTGAATTTTTCCCATGGCATGTAAACGTTTGGAAATATCTTGGCGAATCATGTTTAATGCCTCCGCAAGTTGATCTTGTGTTTGCGTATCATCTACATCCAATAACGCTTGCAGATCGGCGCTTGCAGATCCTCAATTGTTTTTGGTTTTCCGGGGCGCTCCTTGGCCTTTCAAAAGACAATACGTTCATGCTGAAAAAATTTTTATGATCGTCCTTGAAGTAGCTGAAAGAAAGAAATTTATGAAAGAAAGAATTTTTTCCACATTTTTTAAATATTATTGAAATATTAATGAAATTATAATGAAATTTTAATAAAATTGGGTCAAAATTATGAATGCTTTTCAAAAAAATTTCAGCAAAAGTTCATTATATTTTCAATAAGTTATTTCCATCAGATACAAATATCTCAATTGAGATCTTACATGCAAATTTTTGCGGAAACGGCATTTGAGAGTTCAATTGAGAATTCAACTGAGAATTGAATTGGGAATTCTATTGTTATCTCAACAGAAATTTTTCAGTAGGAAAGTCAGATTTTCATTAGATTTATAAAATATATGAGAAAATACAGAGTCGAAGTTTTGTCCATTTTATTTGTAAAAATTATAAATTTTTCAGAATAAAATAATTTCGTTTTTCTTATATTATTTTATATTCTTTACTATTATATCAACAAAAGGTTCTCTTGCCAATAAAATAACGACGGCTTCTAAGACCTAAAGCATTCAGACATTAAAATCCTATTTATATGGTATCCATACAGACGATTATAATATAAAGAAAATTAATTTTCTTGCGTATCTGGCGTCCAAATGCGTGATACATACTCCTTGATGTTCTTTGAATTATATTTTAATTTGCTCACTGATTATTTTTCAGTGGTAAAACTCGTTTTACTGTGTTACACGATGGAGCAACAATCGGAATCTAATCAGCCGAAAAATTGGTACCCGCGCACTATTTTCAAACGTAGTTATCACAACTATGCAGTAGTTGTGATGGCTCGACCTATATTTTGGGAACCACAGAAAATGTTTTAAATATGGAACAAAGGTAAATAGACTACAATTGTATTACTTGTGCTCACATTTTTCATACATATATATATATATATATATATTTTTTCACTCTTCGCCGTGTTAGATATTTTGATAACTAAAGTAATGATTGTTTTTTTTATAATTCGTTCCCCAGGTAGAACACAGTCATATAAAAATTAAAATGATGTCAAGTGATATAAAAATCATTTTGACGTCAAACGATAGCATTTTCATGACAACTTCATGATATTGATGTCAAAATAATATCATCTTGACATCAAAATGATTTTATGTTCTACCTGAGTCCATGCCGGATTAATTTGATGTGACTTGTCTATAATACGTGAACCGTATAGTTTACGTGGCACAGATCGTGTTAGATGGAGTTTATGAAATTTTCTTGAAATCTTACATTTTTCGTATTAATATATCTAGTTTATTTTAAAAAATACTTTATTTTTAATTACATATAATTAGAAATCTACATTTCAGTATACGTTAATATTAAGAAAAAATTGATAGAAAGAATAATATAATTATAATTTTTTACATAATTAGCTATACTCACCGTTACTGTGAATGGTGGGATATATAGCTGGATAGAGTACTTGAAAAATGCAGGGATAGACAGCGGCCAGTATAATGAATACGTGCCCAAAATTATTATCGCGAAAAGGATGGATAGATGTACACATGCTTCACCGACTATAATCGACAAGCTGGAAAGTCTAGGCTCCAGGGTCATCTATCTACTTCGTCAGAATTGCACGGAATTTACCAGAGCATTGAATCGCATCGTAGACCCTGCCCATGACTCGAATATGACCGTAATTTAATTTTACTAATTTTCTATATCTTTTCTATAAATTATATGATTATAAATTGTGACGTGGCGATTTCGCCGTCACCGATAGCAGCGGGGAGACGAGGAGAGCTGTGCTCGCGCCCCCTTCTTTCGCGGGAAGGGCGGCTGCGAGGAGATTGGTCTCGCACGCTTTTTACGTGCGAGACCGCGTAATTTTGTTGCTATTTTTATTGTTGTAAATTGTGTGCTCGGCGGCGACGAGAACGACGAGGTGCATCGATCGGAGCGAGGCGACGGCGGATCTGCAGAGGACGACAAGCCGCGCGGGGCAGGATCCACCCCTCGCTATCACAAGCGAGGGGGCCCCGACCAGATTGCAGCGGGGCGCCAGGAAGGCTGACCGAACGGACCAGATCCCGGGGGACGCCCTGGGATACTTCAAGCTTTTGGCGGCCACCTGAGCGCCCACGCTAAAAGGAGCTGCCGTCCAAGACAGGATGCCGCCGATATAAAATCGGAGAATTCGGCGGTGTCGCGCGGGCCCTATAAGGCGCCCGCGCTAGAGCCGTACGTTCCCGCAGGACCAATAAGGCCTAGCGGCGATCGGCGGCTGATACCGCGAGTCAAGGAGCCTCGCGCTCGCGGGAAGAATCGGCACTGTGCGGCTAGCGAGCGAAGCGTGCGCTGGAAAATTTCACGGGCG